AAAAAAAATGTGGCAATGACCGATCGAATTGATAATTTTAATTGAATTAATTACATAAAAATGCGAAAGAAAAAAAAAAGAAAAGAAAAGAAAAGAGAAAAAAACGAAAAACGAGACGAACGTATAGTTTTATTTCAACAATTTGCCTAAGGGTATATAAATTTCAAAATTTGCAAAATTTTACATTCCATCAAAATTTTTCAATTTGATAAATCACAGTTAAATTATTTAACTTGCTCTAAATATCATCAAAAATTCTTTTCTAAATTTCCGGTCAATGCAATCAATTTTTCAAAATAATAATAATAGTAATAATAATGATAATGATCATCATCAATAATAATAGTTGCAAGAAAATGATCAAATAATTTCACCGGAAATACCGAAAACTACCGGAAATAATGCATTCTTACAAATATGCAATATTGCATCTATTCTTATATTATTCTAAATAAAAACGTAACAAGATAACAATTGTTTAATTTTGTGTTTTTTTTTAAAAAATAAAAAAGTTTTGGAATAAAATTTCAATTTGTTCAAAATCAATCGTTTTCATCGGGAAAAAAATTTATAAACTTGGATAGAATTAATTTTTAGAATAATTTTTGCATATTCTCATTAAATTTGCATATTTTTCACGTATGTTGCATGTATATAAAATTCCACAGATAGCAGATATTCAATCACTCCAAATTAGTGGAAAAAATATTAATTAATGCTATAAATTTGCATATTTGTATCTATGAGATCGAAAAATTAGAAGTGAAAGTATTAAAATGAGTGACCAATGAAATTGAGATGTTAAATGACGAGAAAGAGGTATTACTTTTACGATAATTTATTGGTAAAACGTTTGTATTAAATGTAAAAAGGAAACTTGCAAAGTAATTATGTCGCTAAGATCAAAGCTTTGAACAATTTAATTGAAGGCTTAACGGTTAAAATGAAAAATGTGACCACGGAAACATGCAGTTTTTCATGTCAAAAAAGCTATGTCCAATTAAAAGTTTCCACATCTAGATATTAATTAATGATGATGACGAATGGAGTTATTATTATTATTATTATTATTATTATTATTATTATTATTATTATTATTATTATTATTATTATTATTATTATTATTATTATTATTATTATTATTAATTATTATTATTATTATTATTATTATTACTATTATTATTATTATTATTAT